AACAGAAATCACCATGACAGTGATGAGGAGTTAACCATAGCACCTAAAATATGCTTATAGGAGAGATAATTTGCAAGGAACTTCAAACCAAAGAATTGTACTCATTCTCTAATATTCAAAGAACTCAGGCCAATGCAGTATCTATTACATTCAGAACTCTAAACTGCTACTACTCATTTACAACCGCAAGCTTTGGAGTTCCCACTCTGGTATCCCGCCTACGCCCGCAACTTCCTTCAAGTGAACAACCAACGAACACACCTTCATTGCATACAGAAAACCTCAGACTCTATGATTCATCATTCTCCTCCCTTATTGCAATCTCAAGAAGCCTTGAACTAAGATATGCATTGCATACTAGTAAAAGTGGTACAATAACACGTATATATATGTGTTGGAAAATAAAGTCCAAGTTAGATATTAGATGGAAATAAAATAGATTTCAGTACATTGTATGAGCACAAATAACAAGCATACCTTTACTGCAGCTGCATGTATAACAAGCAACATAGCCACCATCAATACCCATCAACAAGATGAAGATAATGGTAGCCATTAAACGAGTCGTCGATTACACCGTCAAAATCAGAGTTAAACCCGACAAGACAGGGGTGGTGACCCAGAACGCAAAAAGGTCGATGAATCCATTTTGTGAGATTACCCTTGAAGAAGCTCTTAGAAGCAGGGAAGCTGGTTTGGCATCAGAGGTTGTGGCTGTTAGCATGGGACCCTCTCAGTGTGTTGACACTCTTAGAATTGGTCTTGCTATGGGAGCTGATAAAGGGATTCATGTTGAGGTTGACGATTCTCTTTATCCTGGGCTTTTGATTCTTGGCAAACAGGCCATTAATGATGATTGCAATCAAGCAGGGTAGATGGTAGCAGGACTTCTCAACTGGCCACAAGGGACTTTTGCTTCAAAGGTTGTCCTCGATAAAGAAGAACAAGTAGCCACCGTTGACAGAGAGGTTGATGATGGTATCGAGACTATCTCTTTGAACTTACCAGCAGTAATAACCACTGATCTGAGACTGAACCAACCGCGGTATGCTACACTTCCCAACATAATGAAAGCAAAAATAAGCTGATAAAGAATTTCACGCCAGAGGAGTTGAGTGTGGAAATCAAACCCGACTTGGAGATTGTCGAAGTGACAGAACCTCCCAAGCGAAAATCAGGTGTTATTGTTTCTTCTGTGGATGAGCTTATTGACAAACTAAAACACGAAGCTAATGCCATCTGATATTCTCTCCACTGTCCATTATTTCAAAGGATAAACTAAACATTACACGAAGAATCTGAGGCAACAGAACTCCCAGGTCACTCCTTCCCTCCACGAGAGCATCATCAGTGATTGAAGTAATGAACTTCATAAGCTCAACGAAAAGAGTAACGCCGAGTCAAGTGAAACAGATCCTGAACAACAGAAACCACAACAATTAGGGTTTGTATCACCATATAGAATACATGACAAGCTACACTATCGTAGACTGACCAAGCCTAATCCTTTTATTCACATTGCCTATTTCAAATTCTACTGTGTAAGGAGCAGAAGTACCACCTATCCCCTTCGTATCAAAGCTGACTACACTCCTGAGCCTGTCATGTGTTATGAGCTGCAACCCCAACAAACACATGGTTAGCATTGAAACAAAGACTTCATTCACTTCACTCGCATAAGAGACTGAACAAGAAGCAGAGATTAAATTGAAAAGAGCCACGTACCCTGCGATGCTATTTCTCCTCACCACCACCCTTTCCGTGGAAGCCCATCATCTTTAACAGACATATCAAATGCAAGCTTTCTTGTTGGGATGCTAAACTCGTCTTCTGGCCCAAGACCAATGCTTTTCGCACTTGCCAATACCATTCAGAATCAAAATGAAACCGTTAGAGAATATTCACTGGAAAGATTCGATTCAGAAGGAGACCAAATCAAATCCAATCCCAAAATTAATCACGAAATCAAAGATTAAAGCGTCAAGTAATTAGACCATCACTGCAATCAGCGGAAAAGGAATATCTTCAAATCAGATTGGCCCCAATAAGGAAACCCTGAATCTACCATCAATCAGCATTCATTGGGTATCAATCAGGAAATCCCCCTTGAAGCCTATAAAAGGGAGAGACTCGAAAGGAGAAAGAACCAAAAAAATCCACCGATAACCCTCACGCAAAACCCTAACACTCGTAACATAAGAAATCAAAAAAAGAATGAAAGAGGGAGAGAACGAGAAGCTATCGTGAGATCGAGGAGAGGGAACTTATCTTTCTTCCATCGGTGGAATCACTTTCGACGCCGCCGCAAACACCAATTGACGAACTCCACTCCTCCGCCGCCGCTATCATTCAAACCGTCGGTAATCCCCTATCCTTATCTATGCTATTGCACGATTGATGTTTTGTTTGTTGTCTCAGGTCCAAACGAGTGATGAACAGGGAAGAGAACCAGACCGCCATCGATAGAGAGGAGAGGATTTGAGAGAAGCTATCCGGGATACGAAGGGACCTAGGGTTCTTTCTCCACTTTTTCTGTTTTGTTTTATGTATTCCCAATTCGATCCCCACGCACACACCTAGCACTGTATCACCATGATCCCTAACCATCTCTTAATCCGTTAATCTGCTAATAATCCATGTTAATCAACCGTTAATTGAATTTCCATATAAACTAATAACTGTTTTAATTAACCAACTTTTATTTAACAAATTATTTTATAATTTTACTAATAATAACCCTTTTGGTTTTGTTCATTTAAAATCAGTCAACCTATTAAAAAGTGATTATTAATTTTAATAACTTAGTCTGCTTTTTTTATACATCTTAAACCTTTTAATTAATAAATCTCAAATAACTTGGCTTTTTTCTTAAAATAATAATAAATCTTTCTTATTTTGCCAAATATTAATTAATATGTTAAAATAGCATTTTAAAAATTTATACACTCATCGAACCTTTTATATAGTTTATGTTATATTAAAACTCTTAAGAATGAACAACCTTTTTATTATAATTAATTTCTCGCATCAGAGAAAATTATTTTTACTTAATCAATTAATCTTAAACAAACTTTATTCTAAAATCAAACCACAACAAAACTCTCTTAAAATTATTATTAAAAAAATCACCCTTTATTTAAATAATCAAATCGAATCAATTAATATTCTCTTCAAAATAAAGTAATGACCTTTTATCTAAAATCAACTTCATTAATCCAAAACTAGTATAATTAAGTAATCAATTTACCCTCCCACATAATTTTCTCAACCCACCTTTTAAATCAATCCGACTAAAATCAACTCACATCGTAAAATACGCTCAATTCGTGCACCCCACGACACATTCACTCACCTTAGCGCTTTCATGCGTACATGTATGTTTATCTGCCCCTTTATTACTTTCGCTTGTTATTTATCCACAACTCACACACTCACTTAGCGCTTTCATGCGTACATGTATGGTTTACTTTCCAGCAATTTACCTTACAGCCATTTACATTATCAATTTATATTTCCGCATCGCATCCGTCCAAAGGAAAAACCTACACATGATTCAACAATCATGTATAGTGCATCTCATTTGCATCATTATCCCCCCGATCCTTGATCCCGTTCAAGTTGATCTCTAGGATAGATCCTACCCCATAGGAAGGACTATTATCTTTACAACATAGGAAAATAAACAACTCAATACAACTTTTACAAACATAATAGAGAAGGATGTTAATCATCTTAAGCGAGATAAAATCTCCACCCCACAAACAATACAATCAAGCCGTAGGAACTTTGCCTTAAGAGAAATAAAGGCATACTCGTCAAACAATCCGAGTACTTAAGCCCTTTTCTTAAGACGATGCAAAGACTATTTTCCTACACCTTGTGGCGGTTATATCTCCCTTAAAATGAAGACACATCTCTTTCCCTAAAATCAATCAACCAACTACCCTAAACCCGTAGGAACTTTGACCACAGTCAAAGCACTCCTCAAACCCTTTACAGGAACTACAGATACTCTGATTCCACTCCCGTAAGGATATGTAGGCATAAGATGCGACATCTTATCGAGTATACTTAGAAATAAACCCCTAGGTCTTTTAACCATTAAGCAGATAAACACTTAGCAATAAACAATATAAAACAAGAGGTTCCTGTAGAGTACTACAGAAACTTAGGATGCTAGTACCTTTCCTAAGTTTAACCAACCCCCGAACCTATAACTCTCTAAAACCTTGCATTTGCATTGCATAGTGGGAATTTCGATCTTTATCCCTTCCTTTGGACAAATCAAAGTTCGGTTGCAAAATGAATTAAAGATTCAAACTAATTAATAGTTTGGTATCCGATTTTCACCGCGACAAGCGGTAGTAGAGATTTTTTAAGAGTGGTAGTAGAGATTTTTTTAAGATTGGTAGGGTGTAGAGATTTTGTAAGAGTGGTAGTAGAGATTTTTTAAAGATTGGTAGTAGAGATTTTTAATAGTAGTGATATGGTATTTATAGGAGATTAATGTAGGTAAGAATTAAATTGATGTAGGTAAGAATTAAATAGATGTTGGTGAAAAATAATTTTGAGATGTACGTGTCTGCATGCATAGGAGCAGAAATTTGACGTGTCTGACTGTCGTCCTTTGAATGGGCGGCACATTTATTCTATGTCTAACCTCCGGTAATGCAATGGGCGGAACACACCTTTAATGTGTCTGACTATCGTTAATGCAATGGGCGGCACACATTAATTTTGTCTGAATGCCACATAATAAATGTGTGGAACCTTTTCTGACTGCCGCATAAGCATTGGGTGGAACACCTTAATTATGTCTGACTGCCACCCTTTTAATGGGCTGCACATTTATTCTGCTGTTGACCAAATTCAACGTGTGATATTCTTGCATGCGAGGCTAAAAAATGTCAAATGAATTCTATCATTTGCTTTATAACTATGAGTAGTTCCCATTATTTTTTCATCATCTTCAAACATTTTCATACTATTTCTTCAATATAATGTCTACTAGTCAACAATATATTGTTAATGCTCATTACAATGGGAGTGTTGTTGTATCAGATGAAGTGGGTTTGATCTTTGAAAACACTGACGTAACTCGTTTCAGTGTTAATAAAAGATCGTCATTCCAACATTTTAAAGATAGGGTAGAGATGAAGGTGCAAGCTGGATCAGTTACACAGATTACGTACAAAAATGTTGTCCATTTCGGGGACCATCGCTTTAAATTTGTTCCATTAAAGGTTCGTGACGACGAGGATGTTGAAACGATGTTCTCGAATCATTAATGTTTTGGGTTTCCGCACATTAAATTATATATAACATTTTCACAATGTCAAGAAAATCAAATTTCTCAGGTCATCAATCCATCCGTTGAGGAAACGCCAACCATAATTCCACTCGAAGATGTTGAAGAAGAAGACGACGAAGAAGAAAATGAGGCACAGGTTGATGATTTATTTACTAATTTGTTTGAGGAAGGAAACGGTGTCAACAAAGTCAACAGAGATGAATAACACATTCCAGTTGAGAATGTATTCAGCCCACCGATGCATATGACAACCATGCCGCTAAATGTAGAAGGAACATCATTTAAATGGCCACTGAATCCTCATATTCCAATGGAGGGTGACATAGAAGTCAGTAACCGATTTAAAAATAAAGCTGACTGTGTGGCTGCCATTAAGCAATATCACATGAAACACTGCGTGGATTATAAAGTGACAGATTCCGATAAGAAGAGATACATAATTTGTTGCAAGAATGATTCCTGCAAGTTTCTTCTATTGGCGTCCCACCGAAAAAGAAGTGACTTGTAGGAGATAGGCATTATGAACCCACTCCATAGATGTTCAACAACTATGTTTAACCAGGATCATCAAAAACTAACCTCGCAGTTAATGTCTCAGAAATTAATGCCATTTGTAGACAAGGATCCTTCTATTAAGGTTAGTGTTTGCATAAGTAAAATTGTTTCTGAATACAATTTTACCCCGTCTTACAAAAATAGATGGATTGCAAGGAATAAGGCAATTGAACAGGTATACGGCAACTGGGAGAACTCATACAATGAACTTCCACATTTTCTGTTAGCACTTAAAAAATTTGTTCCGGGAACTGTGCTGGAAATAGAAACACTACCCGTGTATACAGATGACGAAACACTTGCTAAAGGGAAACACATCTTCCATCGACTATTCTGGGCATTCCAACCATGCATCATAGGTTTTGCATATTGCAAACCTATACTTCAAATTGATGGAACCTGGTCATACGACGGGCACACTGATTATGGCAGTGGCACAAGATGGCAACAACAATATTTTTCCTGTTGCTTTTACCCTTGTGGAAGGTGAAACCGTTGAAGGTTGGGGGTTTTTTCTGCGAAACTTAAGGAGGCATGTTGCGCCACAACCAAACCTATGTTTAATTTTAGACCGACATGCATCAATTGAAAGTGCATACAACAATGCAGAAAATGGTTGGCATAATCCCCCATCAGTGCATGTTTATTGTATCCGACACATTGCACAAAATTTTATGAGAGAAATCAAGGACAGGAACCTATATTAACATGGGTAACTATATTTGATAATATTCATTAAATTTTGTCAATAACATATATTATTTTTTTTTGTCCATTATTGATATTTTAATTATTCAGGGTATGCTTTAAACCAACCAACATTTCATTACTATCGGTCTGAGATTGGCATGGCAAATGCAGATGCTTTGAGGTGGATTGACAGTATTCCAGCCGAAAAATGGACTAGGGCATTTGACGGGGGTCGACGTTGGGGTCACATGACTACCAACCTTGTTGAGTCATTGAATGTTGTCTTTAAAGCAACACGTAATTTGCCCATTACAGCATTGGTAAGGGCAACATATTATAGACTGGAATCTTTATTTGCTGAAAGGGGTGCAAAGTGGAGTGCTGTGTTGAATTATGGCAAAACATTTACAGACAACTGCCTCAAGGTGATGAAACAAGAAACAACAAAATCTAGCACACATCAAGTCAGAATTTTTGACTACACTAACAATGTTTTCAGTGTGAAGGAGACAATGAACCATGGTGAGGGGAAACCTATGGGACATTATAAGATCGACCTCTTAAACGGGTGTGTAAGTGCTCTTGATTGGCTGCATTTTGTGGCAAAACATTAGAGTGTGCATGTATGTCATACTGGTTGTTAGGACATACTTAATGATGTGTGTACAAGGTAAGTTAACTATAAGTTAACTTAGTTAAGATGAATGTCATACAGAATGTCATAACACTGAACGTATGACATCCAGCGGGCAAGGTTGTTTTTCTGGTATCTATAAACCAGGAAACAGAATAGGAGCTCAAGCTGGATATCAGGAGATTTTTTAGAAGCCCTAGGCGAACTAGAATAACCCTGAATTAAGTGGCAAGTGTGCAGATCATTGAAAATAGGTTTGTTATGAATAAAATCTAATTGATGCACCAAGGCCCAAAAGGACTGACAACGGATATAAAGATCAGAAGATGCAATCCTGAATAGCAGCTCTTGACAACAGAAGAATAAAGAGTGCAACTTAGAGAGTCCTTGTAAGTGAAGAAGGCTAGTCTTCATGTGTGAATTCTGTCTAGGAATACTTGTAATCCAAGCAATTGTATGATGGATGATTTGCATTGGATAGGTAGATTCTAGGCTGAGTCTCACTCGAAGCTTTGAAGCTAGAGTGTGTGAGTTCCTTGATCAAAGTTGTGAAGCAAGATCAAGGTGTGTATGAAGTGTCTCTTCATATTGAATTTTGAAATTGTTTGATATCACTGTTGTATGATTGAGGGGGAGTGAGTGGGTATACTCAGGTCTAGAGTGTCTCTAGGTTGAAGTGTCATTGGGAGGAGTGTAAACTGGAGGTTTAACTCTGAATTGATTCTACTGATAGTGAATTTCCTCCCTGGCTTGGTAGCCCCCAGATGTAAGTGTTGTTGACACTAAACTGGGTAAACAATTGTTGTGTTATTTATTTCTTTTATTATTACTGAGTATTAGTTGTTAAGTAGCAGATGTCACAGTGGATGTTATAATCTTAGGAATAACATCTATCGTGTGCTTGCCAGAATTTCAATTGGCATCAGAGCAGGCATCCTTCCTGTTTAAATCTGGGTGAGATCTAGGGAAAACAAATTCTAGTACTATGGATAAAGATATAGGCTTCACTAATAAACCTCTAATTCTGGATGGATCTAATTATGATTATTGGAAACCAAGGATGATTGCATTCCTAAAATCCTTAGACAACAAGGCTTGGAGAGCTGCAAACTCTGGCTGGAAACATCCTGTGAAGACTGACAAGGATGGAGTAGATGTGTTGATTCCTGAAGAGGAATGGAACAAAGAGCAAGAGGCCTTAGCTCTTGGAAACTCTAAAGCATTGAATGCCTTGTTCAATGGCATAGATAAAAACATCTTCAGGCTGGTACACCACTGTGAACTAGCAAAGGATGTTTGGGACACTCTCAGAACTACTCATGAAGGAACTTCCAAGGTCAAAATGTCAAGACTTCAAATGCTGACCACCAAATTTGAAGGTCTAAGAATGAAGGAAGATGAAACTATTCATGAGTTTTACATGAATGTTCTTGAACTTGCAAACACCTCAGGAGCTCTGGGAGAAAAGATGACTGAAGAGAAGCTTGTAAGAAAGATTCTAAGGTCACTACCTAAAAGGTTTTCCATGAAAGTAACAGCCATTGAAGAAGCCCAAAACATATGCCACATGTAAGTGGATGAACTCATTGGTTCCCTTCAAACCTTTGAAATGGGAATGAGTGATCAGACTGTGGAGATAAAGAACAAAATCATAGCTCTTGTCTCAAACACAGCTGATACAGATGGTGAAAAGGAGGAGAATCTATCTGAAGCACTTGTCTTGCTTGGAAGACAGTTCAACAAATTGGTCAAAAAGATAGATGCTAGGTCTAAACCTTATATCAAAAGCATGCCTTCTGATAAAGAGAATTTTGAAGATAAAGTCAGCCAAAGCAGAGGAGTACAACGTCATGAGTGTGAAGGATATGGACATGTTAGGAGGGAATGTCCCACATACCTCAAAAAGAAGGGAAAAGGCTTATCAGTCACTTGGTCTGATGAAGATTATGACAGTGGATCAGAAGAGGAATCAGCTAAACATGTCACTGCTCTTAACAGTGTGTGCATATCTGATGATGATTCAAGTGATGAAGAGTTGTCTTTTAAAGAGCTTGCAACCTCATACAAAAAGCTTCACATCATAAGCACATAACTGGTTCAGCAAGGAGAGCAACAGAAGAAAATCATCAAGGAGTTAGAAGCTGAAAAGAGAGAGCATCTAGCCACAATTGACACACTCAGAAGTGAAGTACAGGAGTTGAAAAGTAAGAAGGATCAAATGGAAAAATCCATAAGGATGCTAAATTTTGGGACTAACACCCTAGAGGAAATTCTACAGAGTGGACAAACCTCAGGAGATAGATCTGGACTAGGATATGCTGATTAACAAAATCCTGTGTTAAAACTCAAGAGATTACAACCTGAGGTCCAGAAGCCAAAGAGGATATCACGACCAATGTCACAACATCCAACCAAGAGAAATTGTAATGAAGTCAAGAGTATATTCCAAGGGTATAGGTGTTATCACTGTGGAAAACTTGGCCATATCAAATCTGTGTGTTTCTGGCTGCATGGATTTCCTAGTCATCCTCATCAAGAACAGAGAGCTCATGTCAAAAGGTAGCATCAAGCAAGAGCAAAGAAGGGTGCTCCTAACAGGCAAAGACATTGGGTTATCAAAAATATGGCCTTAGCAGCTCACACTGATCTAAGGATGCCAACCCAAGAGGACTAGTACATTGACAGTGGTTGTTCCAGACATATGACTGGAATTGAGGATCTCTTGACAAAACTCAACCCTCATACATCTAGTCATGTAACCTTTGGTGATGGAGCTAGAGGAAAAATCACAGGTGTTGGACAACTTGACAGTCTTAAAGCCCCAAAATTGAAGGATGTCTTGCTGGTTAAAGGACTGACAGTTAACCTAATAAGCATAAGTCAACTATTTGATCAAGGCTTAAAACTCCATTTTTCAAAGGATAAGTGTGTGGTTGTCAATGAAGAAGGTGAGGAAGAAATGAGGGGATCCAGAGCAATGAACAATTTCTACCTATGGGAGCCCAGAAGTATCCTCAATAACCTGGAGAAAAAGGAAACTAGGGAAAAAGTATTGCTGGTGAAGGACAGACAACAGAGAAGATCCAACACACCAGCAA